TTGAATATATATTATTTTTTAGCTGGAAAGATATTTGGTTGCTTCCGCAACAAATCTTATAGCAATTCAATTTGAAACTCCAATTACGACCATTCGCAACTAATTTATAATAAATTTGTTTCTCTTGTAATCAATCGACAATATTCTTTTTATGATGATTCAATGTCAAAGTCTAATTATGGCTATTGAGGCAGCCAGATTATGGTGATTCTATTACTCCTTTTATCAATAATTAATATCTTTACGACTATTTGCAATTGAAAATTATTACAATTTGATTGTCGCTACTATGGCTTGTTGCATGAGCAAAAAAATCACAATTTGGTCATTTAGATTGATCATTATGACAATTGTTACATTTGGGTGTTAACAAATGACGACCACATTAGAAGACACATACAATAGATGTGGTTGATTCTCTTGCTACGTCTATGATCAGAGGTGAAATAGATCAGTTCATACAATAATATTTCATTTTTTTTTTTGAGGGAGATGATCACTCACCGTTCGCAGTTGAGCGTAATGATTAATAAAATAGAATTAGCGTCAATAGAAATTAACTAATTGTTCAAGTACAATTAATTTGAAAGAATGGCCGGAGGAAAACCAGAAAAATATTTTGGCCGCATCTAAACATCTAACGAGATCAAATATTTTGATCAATTTCTTGGTATAATATTTTATTTTCTATTTATTCTTAAGTATGAAAGATTAGTTTTATATTTCTTTTATACGTTCGAATATTCTTTTTGTAAATGTCTTGTATTTTTGTATTATAATGACTTCCTAAAATCGGCATTCAGATATAACTATTTTGAGTCAATAAGGATTCGATTGCGTTTACAACCAATTAACAATATTGTTTTTTTATGGCAATTCAATACTAAAGTTCAATTATACCAATTCATAGTGAAAATCAACAATTTGATTACTCCAACAATCAATTGACAATATTAGTATTGTCACAGTATGATGTCAAAATCCAATTATGATGGTTCGCAACCAAATTCTGGTCTCGTAAGGGATAATCTGAGGATGTGGAGATAGACTCGTGATCGTAAGGTCATGGGTTCAAACCCGTCTACGGGTCTTGTCTGCCACACATGATTTGCATAATGTGACATACGCGACTGCGAGTTTTTATATTATGTATAAAAAAATAGTTTTTTTTTTTTTAACGAAAGGTAGGTATCTTTTAAATTATTGGAATACTTACAAATATCATTTCATTTGTTTATATAAATCTTTAAGACTATCTCCAACCCACTGCATAATGCAGTTGGTTGGCTGAAAATAGAGGGGTTGGGGTATTTTGTGTATTTTTATAGTTTTTTGGTGTTTTGTATAGTTTTATTTTTTAAAAAGTGATATATAATTTTATTTTTTAAAAATTGATATAAAATTTTATTTTTAAAAAATAATATATAATGTCAAAGGAGCTCCGTTTGATCTCCCAGAAGCGGAAGCGGAATCAGGCGCTCGGCCTCTTGGAATTCTTGAAAGAGGGATCTAGGAGATTGGTTTTGATGCCATCCCAGAGACGACTTAAAAAAGTTATCAATATCGGGATACTCCATCGGCTTCGCCGAATGTCATGGCGAGCTCAACCCCCCTGGCCGTAGGCCAGGCTGTAGCTAGGCCGGGAAGGGCTTCCCGGACCACTAATACAATCTTCGCATTGGCATGCTTCTATCCTTTTGCCCTCCCCCGAATCCTGCTGTTCTTCCAGGGAACCCGTCTTCATCATTCAAACAAATCCGCGATATGTGAGACCCCTGAAAGCGGTCAAAGGCCGGGCTGTGGCCGATTTTTTGGCATTTTATTTTTTAAAAATGATATATAATTTTATTTTTGTAAAAAATAATATATAATTTATTTTTAAAAAAATGATATATAATTTTATAAATAAAATATGAATTATATATTTTTAGTGATAATGTAAAATAAATTAAAGTTATGATGTAATTTATAAATATGAAAAATTATATAAAATAATATAAAAGAAAAATATATAGGGAATATATATTTTTTTAGAGCAAAAATTGAAATTTGTGGTTTGAGTAAAATGACTGTATTTTTTACTGTAAGTGCTGCAAAAATGAAGTAATGGATTAGAGATGACCTAATGAATTATTTTATATTGTTGGTTCTAGCTTTAACATGATTTTGTAGATAATAATAATTTTGATAGCTTTTTAATTAGTTTGTCTTTATGTTTTATTTAAAATATTTTATAAACTGTATTAATAAAATAAAAAATATGAATAAAGAAAATTCACAAAATATATTGAAAGGAAGAGAGTATCTAAACAATTAAATTTAATAATTATTTTTATTTTTTTTAAAAAAAGTACAAATAAATATTAAGCGTCTATGAAATAGAAAATTAGCTCAAAAAATTCATAAAGATAAATACTGGTCACTTAGTTTTTTTTGTAAGTGGATTGATTTCCTAAAACTATTATTTAAAAACATACCATATACATACATAACATAATATATATAGTTTATGACCTATTTTTTTTTTTTTAAAAAAAATTAAAATTCAATATAAAATATTATTTTTTATATTACTAACACGACCATATTTAACACAATGAATAAACCTATAGCGTGTATACTTTGTGAAAATTTTCGACATACTTAAAAAAAAAATTAATATATTATACACTCATTATTTTTATATTATTTGTATAATTGTTATACCTTTCAAACCAAAATATAAAACAAACAAATCTAGTGTTTACTTCAATTTTTTTCCTTTATTTATAATTCATCCGTAATTTAAATAAGTATTTGTTTATTATTTATATGTAAATTTTTTAATATTAGTCTGATATTTATTTATAATTCATCCGTAATTTAAATAAGTATTTGTTTATTATTTATATGTAAATTTTTTAATATTAGTCTGATATTGATATGTAATATAGATTAAAAGAAAAAATTGACAAAAATATTAGTATGATACTATATACAGGTAATGATATTTGTATAATCTATCATAAATTGTAAAAATATTTTTAATATTAGATAAATAGTATAATTACTAAAAATAAAATTAATATTTTGTTATGCTACGGATCAAAATGAAAATATAGATAATTAATTAAGGGACAAGAAGTATTATGTAATTATTATACTCCCTCCGTTCCAAAACTATAGTATGAGTTGTGTTCGGCACAAGATATAAGGAATATTGATATTATATCGGTAGTGGGTAAAAAGTACGGATAAAAGATTTTTTTGCCCTTGAAAATTTATTAGTGTAAAAAGTAGTGGCAATTGAGTAATAATAATGAAAAAAGTAATGGTAGTTTTATAGTGATATGATTATTTATAGAAATGAGACTATTGTTTTGGAACGAACAAAAATAGTAAACATGACTATTGTTTTGGGACAGATGGAGTATTATTTTATAAAAATAAATTATTTTGATCTTACAATATATAATATTCCATCCGTCCACTTTGAAGGTTTACATTTGTTTTTTGTTTAATAATTTTTTAATATTAATTATTATATCAAAACGTAATACAAATTTAAAAAATGACAAAAATGCTTATATTAGTATCTTATAATACTAATAAAAAAATATTTATATAAAAAATTATACAAATATAATGATATTTTAAATGTTAAATACAAAAAGTAATGTAAACTTATTAAGTGGACGGATGGAGTAATATTTATAATTATACATCTTTTTATTTTGAAATACGAAAATTTTGAAAATACTACGAAGAATAATACTTCCTTTCGTCCGTTATGAATTATTGTATATATTTCTCTGTGTAGTAATTATGGATTCCATTATTTTATTATATATTTACTACTTTTTTCATCCTGTAATATTTAGCACATTTTGGTTTAGCAGGAGAATAAAGAAAAATAAATATTTTATTAAAAAAATAAAAAAAGTAAAAAGGTAGGTAGAAGTATTTTGGAAATTTGGCTAGTAATTAAAAAAAATAAATGTAATAAAGTTAGTAACATTATTTGTAAATAAGTGTGTATGAAGTATAATAATTAAATATTAATTTTTTTTACTTTCTAAATGTAATAATTGAATAAATTTAACAGACATGACGAAAAAAGAAAATATAAATAAATTTTGCAGACGAATGATATATTAAAAAATTAAAGATAAAACTATTTTTACACTATTTTTAACTGCAACAAAAGGTAATTATATACTCTCAATTCTATAAAATAGTTTTGTTTACCATTTTTGTCAGTCCTAAAATAATGTCTTATTTCCATAAATACTCGTGTCACCATAAAACTTATCGTACTTTTTCATTATTATTTCACAAATATAAATACTTTTTACACTAATATATTTGAATGACAAAAAAGTCTTTTACTGATATAAATATTTTTTAAATCTCATATTTAACTCAACTAAAACTATAGTTAACTAAAACTATAGTTTTAGAAGAGAGTGAGTATAATAAAGCTGGAAGAAAGAAATATTTAACCCCCAATCGAGCAAGAAAGATCAGATAGCATCTAGAAGTTTTCAAGACATTGTTTACACAACAATTTTGTCATTTTCGTTTTATTTTAATTTTTATAAAGATATCATATTAAATTTTTTTTTCTACAAATATTATACCAAATATTAATTTTTATTATTATTGAAATTTTCAAAACTCGGGGTGTGTTTTTTTTTTTTTATGAGTTTGAAAAAAAATTATTTAAATTTGGTATAAAAATAATATTTTATTTAAAAATGGGGAGGCCATAAAATCGATTAAGAAAATATACTAAACATGATCTTAGATTTCACGGATTCGGCTTCTTTGATTATGCGTGCTTTTGGAGTGGGAAGTGGAAACAACAATAAGTGTGTCCAGTCCACCCAGCAAATTTACCCATACAGCACAGCCCAGACGAGTGCCATCGATGGTCCCACATCTGAAGCGCACAGTACAACCCCAGCTCTCTATAAAAGTACGACCACCCACCCCGCTTCACTCCCACCGCCTCTCCTCCTCTTCTCTCCACTCCCCATGGCCGCCTCTCTCTTACTCATTCCCCTCTCACTCTCTCTCCTCCTCCAATTGGCCTACGGCGCACCAAGCTGTGCTGCACACGATCACACCTCCACCGGCTCCACTCTCCCCCTCTTTCACGTGAACAGCCCGTGCTCCCCCTTCCGGCCGCCGTCGCCCCTCTCATGGCAGGACTCTGTCCTCCAGATGCAGTCGGCCGACCGGTCGAGGCTGCTCTACTTGTCCTCCCTCGCCGTCGCCGGCAGGTCCTTCGTCCCCATCGCCTCCGGCCGGGCGGTCACGCAGAACCCTACCTACATTGTCCGAGCCAGTCTCGGCACGCCGGCGCAGACTCTCCTCGTCGCCATCGACACTAGCAACGACGCCGCCTGGATCCCCTGCTCCGGTTGCCTCGGCTGCTCAGCCACCACTTTTAACTCCGCCAAGTCCGCCACTCTCAAGCCGGTCCGCTGCGGCGCTGCGCAATGTAGCCAGGTGCGTACTGATCTTAACTTACTAAAATCGTGGTTTCCACGCGCCGCCGCGTGAGGATGCCTTCCTGCCTCCTTCCTTCGCAGTAGTTTCAGACTTTCAGTGCAACCCGTGACTTAGAAGAATAATAATAATATAAAGAAATAAATTCGATACATTCTGATATACTATATATATATTTTTTTGTCATTTAGTATAATAAAGAAATTATAGTGCCAGCTATTGCACTCGATCGGCCGATCCCAAAATTAGAAAAACTATGACCATAATACCTTTTTGACTTCTAAGTGCGCCACTTTGTATAATAAATTAAAGGTATATTTTTTTAATATAAATTTTATTTAAATAGAGGTGTTTGATGTAATATCTTATAAATAAAATTATTTGCAATGTTGTCGTTTAAATTTTTAAGTAAAACTTTTAATATTAATATTATAATGCATTTAATAAATAAGCTAAAAATATCAAATTAGTATTATATAAAAATAATGATATTTGTGTAATATATTATAAATTGAAATAATATTTACAGAATAACTTTGTTTTGAAATAAAAGTAAATAGAAAATAATAAACTTTTGGATGGAGGAAGAATTTGATATTGTTTAAACTAAAAAGGTACTATCACATTATAAATTTTCATTCATATGATATTATTTATTTTCTAAAAATTATTACATTAAATATATTTTTCTCTCACAAAATATCAAATCAAATATTAATATTTTATTTTTTACAAACTTTGAAAATTCTAAAAATTACCAAAAAAAAAAAAAAACCTTTATCTAAACAAAACCTTAAATTTTATACTCAGGCCATTTAAATTGTAATTGCATTTTATTTATTTCAATTAACTAATTTTATTGAAATATATATATATATATATAAAGGTAGCAAACCCGAGCTGTGGAGGCAGCACGTGCGGGTTCAACGTGACGTATGGCAGCTCCGCCGTGTCGGCGAGTCTGGTGCAGGACAACATAACCCTAGCCTCCGACACCATCCGCGGCTACACCTTCGGCTGCGTCAACAAGGTCACCGGAGGCAACTCCTTCCCGGCGCAGGGACTGTTAGGTTTGGGGCGCGGCCCGCTGTCCCTGATTTCGCAATCGGCGAATCTCTACGATTCCACCTTCTCCTACTGCCTGCCCAGCTACAAATCCCCAAATTTCTCGGGAACCTTGAGATTGGGGCGGAAGGGGCAGCCACTGACCATCAAGACGACGCGGCTGCTCAGAAATCCGAGGAGATCGTCGTTCTACTATGTCGATCTCGTCGCGATCAGAGTCGGCGCCAGGGTTGTCGACATTCCGGCGACTGCTTTCGCCTTCAATCCCACCACCGGTGCCGGCACCGTCTTCGATTCAGGTCATATTTGTAAAATTAGGGTTAGGGATTTCGATTCGGTTAGGTTAGGTTAGGGTTAGGGTTAGGGTTAATTAATTAAAACTGATTCTGATTTTGTTTTGGATTTGGATTTGTGAACGGCGGCGGCGGCGGCAGGGACGGTGTTCACGACGCTTACGAAGAAGGCGTACACGGCGGTGAGAGACGAGCTGCGGCGGCGGATGGGGAAGGCCGCCGTGTCGCCGTTGGGCGGGTTCGACACGTGCTACAGCGTTCCGATAACGGTGCCGACGATCACGTTCATGTTCTCGGGGATGAACATGACTCTCCCGCAGGACAATTTCATAATCCGGAGCTCCTCCGGCAACACGTCGTGCCTGGCCATGGCGGCAGCCCCTGAAACCGGCGTGAACTCCGGCCTGAATGTGATCGCGAGCTTCCAGCAGCAGAACCACCGCATCCTCATCGACATCCCCAATTCCAAGCTGGGGGTGGCGCGTGAGCAGTGCAGCTAGTAAGAAATCTTTAATGGGTGTGCCGGGGCAGAAATCTGTCACGGATTATCTGCAATGTTTCTTCGTCGTTTTGTGGTGTGGTGTTGTAGCGTAGCAGTTATTTTGCTTGTGGGTCACGGGTAGATGCTGTTCTTGCTGTCTGCTTGCCTGTCCGCCATGGATGCATCTCCACGCGCCTTTCCAGATCCCCTCAAATTGCTACATTTCATTCTTATGTTCAACTAGTTTTGTTTTTGTTTTTTTATTGTCATATGTATAATGTATCTCGATACATTTCAAGAGTACCATTTAATAATAAGAATCCGAATACAAAAATGCTGATTCAGATTCAGATTCAGATGCCAAGAACAGCTTTCTTTCTTCGTCGTTGCCATTTTTATGTTTATTTCGAGGGAATGGTGGTTGCATGGATTATATTGTTAACACGGGCGTTTTTTAGTTCATTATGTGTATAAGTAGCACTTACAGTATTAAGTAACACTACATAGTCTATAATCGGTGGATCCCCTGCTGCCATTAATAGAATTTGATATGAAATCGATGGTTTAAATTAAGTAGGGGTGAGATTATCTTTTATCTAATTCAGATTTTTCTTAGAGCAATAATTGGCAGCACCTTTCTGTTGTTGTTAATGCCATTGCTTTTGTCTCTCGGACACCACCGTTGTCCCACCGGTGATCTTCATTCTTTGAGAGAGTATGCGGGCTTGGTTGATGGGTGAAAAGCCAGTGATTGTGAATGACAGATTGTTTGTGTTGAACAATGCAACGATGGGTGGCAGCTTGTCGTTTAGTAATATGGGAGGATTGAGCGGAAAACGGTGACGATGGTGGAAGAATGGTAGTGATGATGATCGGAAGTACAGTGGGAAAGTCTGTGCAGACAACTGATATTGTGTTAAATAATACTACTTCCGTCCAGCTCTAAGGTCGTATTTACTTTTTGCATATTGATCTTTGAATATTAATTATTATATCAAAACTGTATAAAAAAAAATTATACAAATATAAGGATATTCTTAATGTTAAATACAATGACATGAAACGTAAATGTGACCTTAGAGGCGGATGAAGGGATTATATTATAAAATGATCCCTGATGCACATGCGAATGTTAAAATCAATGAAATACAATACCGATTTATTTTAGTTAACAATAATCTGAGTATTTTTGTATAATAATTAGTGCTGAATTTTTCTTGCATATTAATCATAACTACAAATTCCTTTTATATGTATACTCACAATAAAAAAATGTAAACATCATCTGGTTTGTGAATTCTATTGTATGTCAATAAATGAATTTTGTTTATATTGAATGTTGAAAAATGTAAAACAATATGTTGTTTGTTGAATAATAAAATATTGACATTAGTTTTGTATCGGGTTATATAATATAGTATGAAATACTTTTCTCATGCACGCAAATGCTAAATTTAACTGAATGAGATGATAATTTATTTTAATGAACAATAATTTGAGTATTTTTATATAACAGTGAATGATGAATTTTTATTTTTATTTTTATTTTTACTTTTTTGCATTTTAATCGTGATTGCAAACCCTATTATGTGCATACTCACAATAGAAATTGTAAAGTTTTGTTAATTTCATTGTATGTCAATAAAATGATCATGTTTATATCAGATACTGAAAAATGTCAAATAATATGTTATATTGAATATTAAAATGCTATCACATATTTTAGAGAATGTTGAATTTTGTATCGGGTTATATAATATAGTATGAAATGTTTCTCATGCACATATAAATATTAAATTCAACTGAACAAGATGCTAACTGACAGACCAACTATTGATCATCGCCTTGGTAAGCTATTTCCTCACCATTTATTTTAATTGACAGTAATTTGATATTTTGATACAAAAACGATCGCTACTACATATTATCGAGATTCTCAACATATGCAAATTATATCATAATAGTTTGGTCGTTCTCTAGATCTTGAAAACTTATTAAAACAATCAGGTCGTCGAGCGAAGGAGATGAAGTATCTAAAACTTCAATTTTTTCAAAGTCTCGGTTTCTTTTTTAGAAGTTTTTGGATTAATTTTTGTAATACAATCACAATCAATCAACATGATCCTAAACCTTGACTATCAACACTAATCTATATTAATATAATTCAAATACAATATACAAACTCACGTACAATACATGATAATAGTTCATGCAACCCTTCGTCATTAAAATTATGCTTATTTGGCTGAGTACGGATTTTTATTTTTTATTATTATTTTTTTTTTAAAAAAAGAGTAAAATAGAACATCTTCCTTTTATAAAAGAAAAAGTTTAAAAAATTGGTATCCTTTTACTAAAAACTAAAATAAGAATATTTTTGGATGACACAAAAAAAAAAATGCTACAGTTTTGTATCGGATTGTATAATATAATATAAAATTACATAAAAAGTGAAACATTACTATGGCTTGTTTGTTTGTATTTCCATGAATTTAAGATTTTTTTGTCTATTTATCTTTCACATTTACTAATAAAATTATAATCAAATTATTATTAAAAAGTTAAAACACATATAAAGTACAAAATACAAAATAACACACCCAAATTTTTAAATTGATCAAACACGGCCTTATGACGATTGAATTAATATTAAATTTGTCGGTTAATAATAATAACGTGTTTAGGAATGGCAGTATGGCGGGTTGAGGACGGATTCTCAAGGCCCAGCGACCCGACCTACTAGAAAATGTTAGGCCTCAGTAGCCGCCCCGCCCCACTTTAGTCGACCTAAAGACCTGCCCCACCCTGAATCCATCGGGTTCGGGCCGGTGCCAACCCAAAAAGTTACCAAGACGAGTCATCTTGAGACTAGGATCACAAGAACCGAGACCTCAAAATTAAGACAACATATAATTATGAAAGAATCTTAAATTACCTTAGTCTATATTACGTTTTATTTTAGATTTTCTTATTCCATGTTTAGTATTTCCTTGTATTTGTTACCTTGTGTAGGTATTTTTATGTTTAGAGTTTTCTTTTACTTTATTTTCTTTTATTGGATATTTCTTTTTCTTTTGTTCTTACCGCCTCTACCGTAATATAGTAGAGTGAATCTTGAATAAAATTTTATTGTTCTCTCACAATATTTGTCTAGTGTTGTGATGTAATTTCCTTCCATTCAGATATTTCAAATTGGGTCTTTGGAGTGATTACATCGGTTCGTGGCTTCTAATCCTTTGGAGTGAGATTTAGCTTATTGTTTGTGTTTTAGCCTATGGTTTTGATTTCAAGTCCGATACTTATTTTCGTGGTTAGTTATCATCTCGATCCATTCACATTCTCTGCAGTATTTTTTAGTCTTCATTCTTCTTCCTTTTTTTTTTTCAGCTATATTCTGAACCATTGGCTCTATTGAACTTTGTGGCTAAAGAAATTATTTCAAGCATAATTATATACGGTCGGGCCGTGTCACTCACAGTGCAAGAGGACATGGTCTATCATCTCCAATGACGAATGGCTTAAAGGACAGCTTGCTTGACTCGCATCCAGGACACCTCTTCTTCTTAATGCATCTCGGACTGAAATATCTTGATTAATAACCAACAAACCAAACATAGAAACTTAGGAAGGGCTGTCAATTTCCATAATCTTTCGGCGACTAGATCCTACAGTGCATTCCTTTGCTCGGCAACCTCAGCTGAATATACATCATCTGAAGTTCCAAAACAAATAATTTGGTCTTCCACATCGAATTTTCGGCAGCAAGAATTGATGGTTCCGATGAACGATTCCCAAACTCGAGTTTTCCAATCGAATGAAATTCTTCTGAGATGCACATTCCATTCCAAACCCATCTTTTCTATATCCACTCTCCAATTATTTTACCATCCCCCTCCCTATGTTGATCAATAAAGAAACAAATCTTGCAAAAATGATCTTTATAGCTTACTCTCCCACCCGCACATCTTCTCAAAATTTTGTCTTCTTTTCATGCCATCAAAATTTTCAATTCAAACTCTGAATTTTGTTCTTGTTCAAAGCAGACCCACTCTTTTTCAATCCAAAGAAAAAAAAATAGAGTGTCTGCGTATTATAAATGACTTATTTGGACACCAGATCGCCCAACTTAGAACATTCAAAACTTCTGCTACCAACAAGAATAAGTACGCTCGTAAGGGAGCCATTAATTAGGATTGCAGTAGGAGAGGATGAGATACATTTCATAATCCAATATCTCCAGACTACGAATCAGACGCTTTAGATATATCCACCTTAATAACGAAGCCCTTTAAACCTGCCTTCCTTGCTGCTTGGATTGTTTCAAATGCAACCAAGATACCATCCAGAACTCGATGCCCTTTAATGAAAGCAAGTTTTTGGTGACCGATAATGTCATCTACAACTCCCCTAATACCAAGACTCGACATTATATCTTTGCTATACTTTTATATTCACACCCAAGTAAACTAAGAGACCGATAGTGGTAAAAAACTTTGGACATGATTTTTTTGGAAACGGAATAATAAATGCCGCTCCAAATACCTTATGCATGGAGTTGGAATTCTGAAAATTCTATGGCAAAATTGTTCAAGAAAACTCATATTAAAGCCATCCGGCCCTAGATCGAGCTTTATATCTTTGGGCATCCAATAAAGGTTTCAAGACAATTCTTCCCACAGTTACCTTGATCCTTGGAAAATATAGGTAGAAATATTGGTGAGCCGGCTCTTTGATCGCCAGTAGGCCTTCCCAATAATTTTCATTCCACCGAATATTATTCGAGATATGGTTCTTGGTTTGTCATATTTTAGTGCATGGAGAGGTGGAAATGTCTTGTAGTCCTATCTTCATATCATGTGATTTTTGGCGCCACACACTTTCTTCATTCATATATGTGATTTTTTCTCCCAAAAGATTGCACATCAAGTTGAAGATCTCTGAGCCTGTTTACAATTCATTTTTATAAAACTTTCACCTTCTTCTCACATTCGAAAATATCCTTTTTTTTAGAAATCGATCAAGTCTTTACTTCCCGACCATGTAAATCTCTTTCCCGCCATTGGAAGGCCTCAAGAATCAATGATTTCATTGATCGAGAATCGCCCAAATTGCTCCACCTTTCCTCCTCTATGAGTGTCGCATTAAAATCGCCACCATCCGACACTTGATCCAATAATTCTTTTTTATCCCGTGGTAGTTTACACTCACTAGGATTATTTGGGGCTTACATATTCATAAGATTCACCATCTCCCTTTAACCACACAAATCGAGGATCAACTAGCTCCACCTCTAACTTAGTTGAAGAAAGAATCCGACAGCAAAGAAGACTACCATAAGCACTATCCCACGAGGCCCCACCCGACCTTTTCAATATAGTGATAGGATAATTTTAACGGACGGGACAAAAACAAATAAGAATAAATTTGACAGACTGGGAGGGAGAAGGAGTATATAAGTTGAGTAGACAAATGTAAAGTAAAGGTAGTGTCCCGTGGTGTAGGGGTTAGACTTGTGATCCTGAGGTAGTTTTCGCAAAATTTTTTCTTTAAAAATATCAAATCAATTTTTTATATTATACTAAAAATAAATTTTACAATTAAAACATTATATCAATTCTTATTTATATCACATCATATAATTATTCAAATTCAAATGTTTTACTATTCAAATCTCAATCTAAAATACTAACCCTCAAACAAACACACCTCTATGTGACTTTTTCGTTGGGGTTGGAATTCCCATGTCATTAAAAATAATAATAATAATAATAATAATAATGTAATGCAAGGGTATGAAAAAAGATACTAAGATATTTAAAAAATATAATGATATGTTTGTTTTTATTTGTTAAAATATGAATAATAAAATTATAAATATAAAAAATTATTTATTATAAATAGATTGTGCATAAATTTAACATAAACAAAGAAACCTCAACCACAATTATAGCTGAACGAGAGTATAATTTCATATTAATTTGTCTTCTATAACACTGTTCTTGGATAATTTTTAAATAAAAACAAAAATTGTCTTATATAATACTGTTCTTCGATAATTTTTAAATAAAAACAAAATTGTGTGTTTGATTTTTATTTGAAATTAAATATTTGATTTAAATTTTAATATAAATAGTTTTTAAATTTTAATGTAATACTTTTATTTTAAAAATATATTAAAATGTGCTTTAAAAAAATAAAAAGAAAATATTAAAAAAAAAATTATAGTTGTAAAATATATAGTTCTATATTCTTTTCCACAAAAAAAAAAAAAAAAAAAAAGAAAAAAGAAAATGAAAAAGAAAGCGGTGCTTCTTAATTCCCAATCAGCAGCGGCAACCGCCTTCGCAAACCTGTTTGATGCTTAAATCTCGTCGACGCCGGCCATTGTTCTCCGATTCCGATTCCGATTCCAATTCCGATTCGAGGTTATTCTATTGCTACTGTGTATGTTAACTACTCTTACAGTACAATCGCTGCTTAACTCCTTCCGCTAAAGTTCCTCTCCTCTCCTCTCCTCTCCGTCCGTGGCGGCGATGCGTTCGAATCCACCGCCTCCGGCTCCTTACGGATCGGCGAAGCCGCCTCTAGTCTCCCGCGCCCGTTCTCTGTACGCCGCCCGGCGTCCATGGCGGTCTTTCTTCGACATCTCCGCCTTCTCCCTCCCTTTCGGCTACGCGGAGGCTATGTCACGAATCCGCCGCAACGTCAACCATTTCCGCGTCAATTACGCGCTGATTGTGCTGGTTATCCTCTTCTGCAGTCTCGTTTACCACCCTGTCTCCATGATTGTCTTTCTGGTTGCGTTCGCCGCCTGGCTCTCTCTCTATTTCTGCCGCGACCGTCCGATCGTACTATTGGGGAGAAGCGTCGACGACCGGGTTGTTTTGGTGGTGTTGAGCTTGCTTACAGTGGTTGCATTGGTGTTTACGCATGTCGGAGTGAATGTCCTGGTGGCGTTGGTTATTGGAGTGGTTCTGGTTGGTGTTCACGCCTCCTTTAGGGGGACGGATGATCTGTTCTTGGATGAAAGTGAAGCTGTTGAGGGAGGATTGCTCTCGGTTGTGCGTTGATTTGAAATCTTCCCATTCGTTTAGGGTTAGGGTTAGGGTTAGGATTTGTGAATCAATCTTGATTTTGATGATTTCTTGGTCGATTGCTGCCTCTCTTTCTAATATTTCTTGAAATCCATTCAGATTTGCTTTGTGGCAGAATTCCTGTCCACTGCATTGCTGTGTTTTTTAGCATTAGAAATGAAGAAATACAAAAATGCTTTGGGCATGGCTTTAAAGGTTAGTCACTGTTTCCTGGTTCTGAATCTCATATACATGATGATGGACAATTGTGTTTTCTAGCTGCTAAATTCATTAATCTCTGATTTTCCTTAGCTATAAGTTTCTCCATATGATTCTTGTGTGTAGTGCAATGTCTTGATCCTGGTCTGTTCATCAGAATGAATTAATTGCATCAGGATTCAGACATAAAGAATGCTTTGGACATGGCTTTAAAGGTAAGGTGAGCCATTGTTTTCCTTGTTCATCTGCTGCCAAATTCACTTATTTAAGAACTGCCCTTTAGCAATAACTACTTACTTATTCATCCGTATGGTTCTTGTGACTTGTGATAGCTTTTGGTTTATCTATTGTGAGAATTCCTTGATTATAGACATCATCTGTATATCCATTCGACCCAGCCCTGTGTTTTCAGAATCAATCTATCTAATAATCTTTCTTGTAGGACCGATGATATTCAGGGGACTTTCGGGGCTTCTCTTTGTGTAATTTTGTGTTACCCCTTCCCTTTCTTGAGATCTCTGGTTGTTGCAACTATTGAAGAAAACTTCCAAACAATGTTTTCAAAAGCAAAAGCATTCTTACTCTCGATTCTTCTTTTTACCGCAGAAGATGTGATTCCCCTCCTTTCAACATTTTTTTTATTTTTTAAATATATAGTAAAATTTTTGTATTTTTCATCAATATTGAGTTATTTAGGGTGTGTTTGGTTGGGAGTTTTGATTTTGAGTTGGGATTTGAACATAAAAATTTTGAATTGGAATAATTGTATTATGTGATATAAATAGGTGTTAATGTGATGTTTTGAATGTAAAATTGATTCTTAGTATAATATATCAAATAGAAAATAGATGTTTGATTCGATAATTTTTTGAAAAAAAAAATTAATAAATAATAAATTTTGGGGAAAATCCTCGAAGAAGGTAACGAATTATACTATTACCTACAAATGAAAGTACATGTACCTACAATACATAATAATAGTAGTTCATATGTTCTATATATGGGTTGGCAACGGCTAAGGTGAATATATGTCTTGCTAATTGAATATAAATTATATTATTTGTATTCAAGTATAAGATTATTTTAATATATTCTAAATTATTTTTTCCATATAATGTTAAATGAACGTTAATTTTGTGATTTTTGTATTTATATATCCTAATTTATTATAAATTATGTTTTATTTGTATATAAGTATAAGGATTCTAGTGTGTTTATTTGGAGAATTGGATTGGATTTACACTATTCATCCAATCTTTTCCCCTAAAAAAATATCAAATTAAACACGTATTTTTATTTTTTATATTATACTAAAAATTAATTTTACATTAAAAACATCACATCAACACCTATTTATTAGGTCATACAACTATTCAAAGTCAAAATTTTTACTATTCAAAATATAAACCCCCAAACAAACACACCCATAAATATTCTAAATATGTTCACCATATAATGCTATAACTGTTAAGTTAACCATATATTGGATATAACATTACAATACGGTGATTGAAATTAATTAACATTATAGCAAAAGCAATAGTCATGTATATATCTCCAAAACATACTCTACTACTATTATATGTCACAAACAAAATACACAAGATTAGATTACCTTAGGAACAAGAAATCAACATCTTTTCTCCATCATCAGAGCCATCTTCTTCTTGATCTGAATCGGACTCGGCAAACTGGTCGAAAAATGTGTCAAGGTACCAGGGGCAGTTCTCGTTCCAATCGCCTCGATTGGCGCTGGCTCGCCAGCGTTGTTCTGCTATCATCTCTGCCGACAGCCCCCATTCTTGCATTTTTTCATCAGTGTGATGGACTGCTAGACTGTACTCACCCCCCATCCCCAGCTGCATCACTTGAAACTCGCAGTTCCCGATGTTGTTCAAATGCTCGAATTGTTCGACTGTCCATTTGAACCACTTCATGAGAAAAACACGGATCGCTAGCCCGTGGGATATGATCACAAGATTCAGGGCATCAGATGGGTTGCGATGAAGCCGGTTCATGTCTATGTCCCTCCATAAAGATTCAAGAAAACCTGCGACCGAAAAGAAATTTAAGTCCGCATAAATATATAAATTTTGGTTGATCTAATCTAGTCGATCACATGCTCTTCAAATTAGAAACTAAACACCGAATACAACAACTCAAGCCTGTCGGGGTGGTGTGTTTACTTGTGATGTTTTTCTCCTGATTTTACTATTTCAACTTTTTTTTTCCTCTAAAAGCATCAAATCGAACACTCAATTTTTATTTATTTTATTACACTAAAATCTAAATATCACATCATCACATATTTATATCACATCAAATAACTATTTCAATTCAAAATTTTACAATTCAAACTCAAAACCCAAAACTAAAACCTCACGAGTAAACAAACTTGATTTCCAAGATTTGTTGTGTTCTTCCATGCCAAAAATAAGTAGCAAGCAACATTACCCAACAAATAAATGTCATTCGATACACATATGCAATAAAAATCAACAATTCAAACACACACACAAAAAAAAAAAAAAAAAAAAAAAAACCATTCAAAATTAAAACACACTTAAAATAATAGACGCTAAACAAACAAATCTTTACACCAACGCTTGAATCTGCTTTCAATTGCTGATAGCTTCAGCATTTCATTTCTCAATTCTACCAATGAAGATTGCTTGAGGTGAAACTGACGGGTTGTTTTCAAATAAGTATTTTCGCAAGCTCTTGAATAACAACCTTTTAATAAGATTTGTGGATTTATTCTATGGCTATATTGAACATTGATTCAAGCTCATCACTGCCCTTAAGCATTATACATACACAATGCATCATATATCCAACAACCATGTTTGACACATCTTTCCTATTTTGAACTTTGTTTCAGGAGATTCCAGTACAAAAGCATCTAGCTAACAATATTCCTCTACAACTTAAATTTGGATCAATTTCAAAGAACTTAAGGTGAGAAGAAAGTGTAGTTATTGAAACAACTATAATCAAAATAATAGGAGGCAATCTCCAAGTGATTTCATATTCTAGTGTTGGATCAAATTAGAGTAGTGCTTCGACTGAGTAGGCTAACGGCTACGGCTTCAAGAGGTGATATGAAAATAGTATGATTCTGTGCTATGAGATAAAAGCAGCAGATTGGCGTTAATTGCAGAGACAACAAGTTTCTGAACAACTTTTCAAACGACTCCATTGATTTTTAGATTTGCCTAAACTATTGAGAGAATTTCTGCCTTGGAAGAACAATGTGAATCCAATAGAAATGGTTTTGTGCTAATTTTCAATCTCCAGAACAAAACCTAGGAATATTAGATAAGCCTTTAAATGAATATGATCTTCTACAGTTTCAATCACAACTTACAGGCACTAAACTGTGTGTCTTTCATTCTGGACGAAGTTGAATCAGTTGAACAACAAAGAAATCAACAAATATAAAGAACAGCAGGAATTGTTGGAGAATAATTAGCGTGAATACGATGACGATGATGCGAGGGAGAAAACAGAGTACGTACTTGAAACGCGGTCAAAAACGTCGGCAGCGGATTCTCCTTCCGGAAACCGATAGAAGAATCGGCCGAACCTCTCCCTGGTCTCCTTGATGACTTTCATCCGCTCGGCGACCTGAAAATTGCCGAAATCCTGTTCCCTGACTCGACATTCCTCCCTAACTCCAATCACCTTGTTCTTCGGAAAGGCTCGCCCGATCTCGCGGAGCGTGGAACGCGTCCTGACGTACGGCGAAACATAAAAGTAGACCTTCCAGTCGGAGGAAGCGCCTTCGTCGGACACGACGCGGCAGATCTGAGAGCCGGCGAGTTTGGCCTGGTCGATCCCGAGCGGCGTCAGAGGTATCTTGTTGTCCGGAGTAGTGGAGTAGGCACTGCCGTCGACGTTGCCGGCGCTCTCGCCGTGGCGCACGAGGATTATACGCTTTGGGAGGACTCGCCGCTTCGGGCTTGGGCTTGCCACCAGGCCCGGCCCGGAACTCGGTTCACGCACTCCATCAGGCATATTCTTTCCTTGTACGATGGCTATTGTTTATATATACTACGCGATGGTGGTTTTATTATTTAGGAATGGCTGGCTGGCTGTTGGTTTTTGGAATTAGTATAACCGTATGTATGTATGTTGTAACTGTGCGTATATATATATACACATTTAGGTTTGCTGTGGACGCGTTTGCTTGCTCGTGCCCTCATACGCCCACCTGTATTTGACCTTCAATTAAAATAATATTAATTCAATTCATCATAAAAAATAAAAATAAAAATAAAAATAAACCAATATTGTTTTTAATTTGAAATATTTAAAAAATTATATAAAATTTTGCTTATTACCATAATAAATAGTATAAGATAAATATAATTGTTGCAGTTACATGCTAATCCAATCTAAAAAAAATATAAAATTTTGTTTATTACCATAATAATATAATATAAATATAATGATTAGCATGCATCCGCAAAATGCTGAATTGTTACAGATCGCAATTAATATACATTGTAAAATTATTATTTCATAAGATCAATTTAAAAAATACGGTTATTCGAGAACATAGTCAAACTTTTTTTTTATTCTTTTAGTTATATATTCTAGTATTTTAATAATGTTTTGCTAACATATACTTCATCCGTCCAGTCATAAAGTATACATATTTTTATTTTGGGACGTCCAATTACAAAGTAATTATTTCATTAGATACCCCATTTTTTCACAAATATTCCTACTTTACATCACATCATTACTTTTATACCAAAAAAATAAAAGGAAAAATGTCATTTTACTACTTTTACCTACCCACTATAATTAAAATACTATTAATCCTTAATTTTCGCACAAAAAGTAATTTTATACTTTCAGCTTGGACGGAGGGAGTATTTTTTATTGTTTTATACATTGCATGTGTTTGTTAATCAATGCATTAGATATTGCTTGTCCATGTGTTTCATTTTGCTAATGTATTTTTAAAAATTAAAATAAAATAATAATTTATTTTGGCGTTAACGTATTTAACACTTTTTATTACTCAAATAATAATTATATTTTCCTCCGTCGTGCGAGGGATGAACCCTTTTATTATGGACACAGTTTTTTAGGTAGTGTAGATTAGTAAGTTATTAATAATAAGTTATGATATTAGTTTAGTATTATTTTTTATATGAATAATATTATTGGTATTTTAAAAATTTTAAAATTATATCTTGAAAAAATACATGCAATATGAATATCATTTTGTAGATAATAAAATTTTATATAATACAAATAAATAAAAAAAATAACTTATTTTTATTTATTTATTATTATCATAAATTAGTTTTATAAAAAATAAGAAGTTTTAAATATAGATAAAAAAAAATTATGGTAATTGAGAAAATATAGAATAAAGAAATTTTGAGTGAAATGGGTCAACTGTGGTGGAACGGAGGGGAGTATATGCTAACTTGTTCATTAAATTTTTGTTCATATACTTTTTCTATTGTTTTATAGAGTATATTTCTATAGTTTGCTAACTTACGTATTGAATATTTCTTATTCATTCGTTTTAATTTGTTCTCAAGACATTGTTTTTAACACAGTTTTAATTTCTTATTTAACACTTATTCTTTTGTTCAAATAATAATTATATGTGCTAACTTATTAAGTAAATTTTTCCTAAAATATAACTATAACAAGAAATGTTGTCTTAACTAAAAGTACTAATTGCATATATTTAGGGTGTGTTTGTTTGAGGAATTTTGTGGAATTTTTATTATTCTCACAAACTTTTTCCTCAAAAAACATCAAATCAAATTTTTATTTTTCGTTTTTTATATTATACTAAAAATCAATTTTATGTTTAAAACATAACATCAATTCTTATTTATATCACATCATACAACTATTCAAATTCAAAACTTTTACTATTCAAATCGCAACTCAAAATCCATACACACCCTAATGTATTAATTAAGCTAACCAATACTGTGAACCATAATTCCTCTCTATATATTTTTAGAATTTTTAACATTAACAATATTTTAAAAAAAAAAAAAATCTTTCATAAAAGTATAAGAAAATTACATTGAATATTTTATTTTTTTATTTTTAATTTGTTAAAAATTACAAACTTTCAAAATTTCTTTCTAAACAGAACCTAAAATTTTCTTTTATTTTTACTAAAATAATTATATATAAATATCTTTTGTATCTATTTTGATGATATTAGTACAGATTTCTTATTTTTGTATTTGATATCTCCGCTCGGCTCTTAGGTTACATTTACTTTTTTCGCGTTGATCTTTGAATATTAATTATTATATTAAAACGTAGTACAAATTTTAAAAAAAAATACAAAAATATTTCAATCGGTGTCTTATAATACTAATAGAATGACATTTATACAAAAAATTATACAAATATAAAAATATTTTTATTGTTAAATACAATGATGCAAAAGGTAAATGTGACCCTTAGAAGCAGACAAAGGAAATATGATTTTCAATCAATAGTAGAAAAATACTTTCGAATGAAAGCGAAAAAGCGGGACAATGGATGACGAGTTATATGATGACGACAACAAAGAAAAAACATATGAAAAAAAAATGACTGAAAGAATATTTTTGAATGTCAAATGAAAAATAACAAGGTGATATATCTATTTTCTCTAATTCTTGACATGACATTCAAATAGAGAAAGATAAATGATTTGTTTTTTAATTCTAAATATTTGGATCAAACAAATAAGGTAACTATATTTATTTTTATATCATCATTTTTCTATATCAAATATATCTTACATTGATCGTTATTTAAATATAAAAAAATTTAAAAAGAATTGCGGAGGAATCAATGCAGCGAAGATGACAGTTAAAATGGCGGATCAGCCCCGAAGTGAATATTACATGGCTTAAATACGAGAATGAGATATCCCAAGAATTTTGAAATCTAAAGGATAGATGCTAGCCCAATGGAAAAAATAATGAGTCATATGTTGAGCCAAAAGAAATATTAGAGGAGAAAAAACCCAAAATGTCCAAGTGGAAAAAAAGATCTAAATCAACATTTAATGAGGGTGACACTGGTTCAATAGAGATTGAGGAGCCTATTTTGTGGAAGGAAGAGCACACAGGGGCTGACGAATTAGTTAAGGATGTGGAGGTTATAACCCATGTTACCAAGTAGTGGTGGAATTTGAAGGCTAGATCATTAAAGACACAAGTTATAGGAGTTATGATGTCTTAATGATATCCAATAATAATGAAGGTTGTGAGCAACTAATGAAGTGATATTGCAAACTTTATGGAGCTCATTTTGTGGGAAAAAAAAATAAAAAATTGTAGGCTAACTGATTATTGCATGAGAAGGTAGCATATTCGGTGGTTACCAAGTGATGAAAAAGAAATTAAGTGATAAATCATTAAATGATTTTAGGGGTTACAACCGTTACCAAGTTGTGGGTTATTTTTAAGTAGTATATCATTAAAGAAGCTTGGAGGTTATATAAGTTACATGTGCTTTGAATGATCTCTAAATGATATTGGTAGTTATGAAAAATTAATAAATTGGAGTTACAAAGTTCCTTAGTGGTATAAAAGCCAAAGGAGAACTGAAAGAAGGGTATGATCAATTCAACAACACAACTCCCGGAGTTTATCACACTTATTTTTATTTTCCTTTACTTTTTTTGAATTTTTGTTTTCTTGTCGTTTATTTTTTCTTTCAATTGTTTTATATTTTTTATATTTTCGTTTAGCTTTAATTCAATTCTACTTGTACTTTTCAATTTATTTATCTAATTTTAATAAAATTTTAATTTTTAAATTTGAATTCGAGTTCATTTTCTTCAATAGATTTTTCGCTAGTTTTATTTTTTACAGACACAAAGCATTCTATCATTGGAACTTTCTGGAATATCCTAGGGAATCCTTCACCTATTTTTCAACCGGTTTTCTTAAGCCGTTACAAAAGTTGAGTATTCAAACTTTTAGATACAACAAATTGGCACGCTTGGTGGGACCACGATCATTTTGTGTCTCACTATCGAATACATTTGATGAATCAACAATTAAAAGCAATCATGCTTCCAAAAAGCATTGGTGTTGCCAAAGAATAAGGTCGGAACGAGAATTTTCCACATGATAGTGATTCAGTATTGGGGGATTCCACATCCCAATTAGAAGAAATGATCGAAAATTTGGTTCTAGACCTATAAACATATTTAGGGGGTATACTCGGGACGAACTTCAGTCATCCATTCATGATTTCGCCCTTTTGGTTTCCGAATACATTGTGGATGCTATAGGGACGACTATTAAAAATGAGAGTTGGTTCCAGAATGAAGAAGCTCGGAAAAGAATAGCCCCTATAGAAGAAGTCTTATGAATTATGGAGCACCATCAGTTCAACCACATCTAGACCAAAATCTACCTAGAGAAAATGAAAATTCCTCAAGTTGGAAAGGCCGGATTATCTGTAAATATGGATGCTCGAGCTTTCCAATCTACTAGGGGGCAAGTTGATCATATAATCCGGCCAGAGAACTAGCATTCCTCAACTTGAAGTGGCCGGATCATCCACAAATTTTCCCCGTTAAACCATCCAATTCGCTTGGGGGCAGGGTGGATTTACACGGTTGAGAGACAAAGTATTTTTGGCGGAAATACATTGCTAATATTCCCACCAGGGCCATGGGGGAATTGGACGTCGTGCATTGAACAATTCACCTTTCTCCCCATATACTATGGAGTTCCATAAAGTTTGTACACTTAGATTCCGTTGATCTACCCTTCAGCAAGAGGGCAAATGACTGTGGAATGAGTGACAACTGCAGCGGCTCCATATGTACCACCACTGAGCGCATTTAAAAATTATAGCTCAAATCCAGCGCTGCATATTTTGAAAGATCAGCCGATTCCAGATAATCGTCCAATCAGAGTACCAGCAACGGAATCACACGAAGTCCCACGACCGCAGTTGCTAGTAAATGAGTCAGTAAATCAACTTCTGTCACTACCAGTAGAAAAATTGCAGCATCCAACAGGTAGTAGATATCATCTCTAAGTGTTCCCTTTACGTGGGAGGATCGTTCTATTGCGAAAATAGTCAAACAAATGCCACCGATGGC